AGACAGGGTTGGCAAAACCATTCAAAGTTATCCATCAATTGCATAGCTTTATACTGATTAGGCTTAATGTTCCCGCACTTTATGTGAGTCCATCCATTGCATGAGTCACAGCTAACCGCCCTGTGGTTTGTCGCCACATTCCTATTGCAAATAATACATTTATCGGGACCAGGATTCAAGGAGATGTCTCTGGATACATGTATTCATATAGCTTGGTAGGAGCTCGAAGAATTAGAATAGTAGTTCAGGCGTCTATTGTAATAGCCTTTTCCGGTGATAGTTCTGCCAAGATGGCGGATAGGCGAGCTAGTTGAGCAAGGATCGTGTAGAAACCTCGTGTTGTGGGCCAGCCAGGTAAGTCTGAAGTTTGGGCAAAAAACCGATTTGCTGTTATGAAGGCATTTCCAATTGGAACGATAGCAAAGTTGAGCAGAAATGAGGAGTAAGAAGTATAGTATTGTAGAGCGAGTTATTAAGCAACCATTCGTCATTGTCGTTACTCCTTTAAAACCATCCATGTCAACAGCACCGCAACAAGTTATAACCTTGATACGGTTACAGGAATAGCTTCGAATAATTTAACTCAAGAGACCAACAACACAAGCTTTTATTCCACCAATGTTCTTTAGTTTAAACCTACAAAAAATCTAACTCTCGTTATGAAAACTAGAGCTCCATCGTATCCAAGTTGTCGACAAACTACATGAGCGTCCTGTAAGTCCCAATAGTCATCACAAACGGTTCCCCATGTACCATTGTAAAACATTTCAACGCGACCAGAAGACCGCGATTTGATTTAATTTTGAAGACGAAATTATTAATAGTATTGTACGTGTGTTAACTGAGTTTTAAGGACAATCATAAAGCGTGAGAACCTTTAAAAACTCGGACAGTCTCTTTGGTGTTTTCGTCTCTGCTCCCATTTTAATTTTTTCAGTTCCGGCGCTTGACATGTGTACAAATCTTCGTGTATTTCTTTTGTTGCTTCTAGCTGATACGGTGTCTTCATCTCCGTATAATTTGTTCTGTTACCAACGGGTTGTTTTGTATCAATTAAAGCAAGGAGCTCGCTTTCATATTCGTGTTACAGGCTTTGCAAGACTTGTGGTTCAATCGAAAAAAAAAAAAGCAACAAAAAACAAAAGAAACCTCCAGGAAATAGTCGACCATTGTACGAATTGGTTAATGGCGTGACAACGTTACTCCGTGCGACAAAGCACGATGACAAAGCTCCTCTGACAAAGCACGATATTTCAGCCAAATCAAAACGCGCAAAAATTATAATAAAGTATAGTAACTTGATGAGGAAATAACTTCTATGTAGTTTGTTGAACTAAACAACTCATTCGTTTTCCCAAGTTTTGCTGATCATGAATGAAAAACTGTACGTCGCATTTTTATGAAGTAATCTATAGTTAAGCAGCAGACTGTTCGTGATCAGTCACCCGCGATCTCTAAGACCCCAGAAGCATGACCGATTTTTTTTGCCTTGTCTAAAAAACCTACGAGATATTCTAAGCTTTAAGAAATAAGGACTTTGAGAACACAGTATGTGGAAGCTATGTGTTAGAAAAAAACAAATTAAACAATTACAGGTATCAGCCACTTTTAAAATGCCTACTAACAGGAGACGCTATTGCTTAAATAGTGCTTTACTGCGAGGATCGTGCACATATACGTAACAGAAGACTCTTCGTCTCAGTTTCGAGCGAACGAAGATTTCAGTGATCCTTAAAAGAAAAAAAAACGCTATGGTGTACTCTGGGGCAAACGCGTTGAACCTGTCTTGCTAATGTCATTAAACGTGAATTTGTTGCCCTCCACCAGTTTATCGCGCGATACAGATTCTGGCTTCACCCTCATTAATCATCGTGCTATGGAAGTCTCGAGCCACGTTTAGTTTGTTTAAAAACACATTTGAAAAACGAGCTCGTCATAATGAAAAGTGCTTACTTCCAAGAAGAAACATAAACGCTCCAGGCCTTTATAAATACTTTAAAGATCCTTACGAGCAGTCAGTTTCGCGTTCCACAATTGTTCCCATTCTTAATAGTAGGTCACACTTACTTAAGGCGTACAATGCAACAATTCTAACATATGAAAATCAATTCCCTTTTTAACGATATACAGTAAAAGTGTATAAAATTGAAACTGTTTTTCGAACCACCCACTCACTGCTTGCAAAGCACTAAAAAACCTTTTTTCCCACTTCGCAGTCAACCCAATTTCACGCACGTTGACAGCATGACTGATTGAAGTTTGAAATAATGGACGTGGTATAGCAATCGCTATGGCTCCTGCATGCTTAAAGAGACTAAGGCTTACTCGAGTTTAAATTCGAGCTCGAGTTCGTGTGGGACTTCGGTCGACGTTTGGAGTTTTAGTTAAAAAATTCAGTTTACACAGAAGATAATAGTTCATCGCCGCATAATAAGGACAAAGAAAATTGAATCTCGTTTGCAAGCTACAAAGGTAAAGGCTGATAGAGGCAATTAACTCCGGATGGATATCCCCCTTTCGTGAAAAGGGAACTTTCTAATGGAAAGGAGGTGTGCTAGAATGGTGAATTTAAACGTGATGCGAAGAAAAGAACGCTCCCATATAACGTAAGTGAAAAATGAGACGTACAATAATCCTTCTAACGCCTATTTAATACCGCTTTATGAGCTCAAAATAACAGACAATCAGGCAAATTTGAGGTAATATTGATCTTTTTATTTATTCGCGTGGTTTAAGTAATAAAATTACTAACACAAATCAAGATAATGGAGGGAATGTCGATTTTCAACAATGCATTCGTATAAAGAAATCAGGCTTATTTCTGGGGGATAAGAAAATAAAAGGCTCGAGTTCGCACTCTTTAACAAAATTCTACTTCTTTTTAACCGTGTTTTTCAAAAGTATAAATTTTTAATGCACTTTAAACACCTGAAAAACCAAAAGAAAGTCAGAACCACTTCTTTTCGTATTTAAGACAAATAGGAACAAGGATGATTCCTGAGAACATCACCTCATTCATAAGAGCATCACCCATGTCCAGCTAATTCCAATTTTGCAGCCTGATAACTTTGTTGATAAAAATTTATACAACCAGATGAAGAACTAGTCTCTGTCAGAATCAGATAACTTGCAAATGGAAAATTATCCACCTCTTAAAATTTTGCATGCAGCAGGCACTGAAGGGTAGTGCACAAAAATGTGATTTTAGAGGTTCAAGCATTTTTGTTTCCATGGCAAGCTCACTATAGCATTACAAATTGGTACTTCTACCATATATAATAACATCATTTATCTTTGCTCTAATGCATTCAATTTTCCCTGAGAGTCAATGTAAACACTAATCGATTTTTTATTGCGGTATAGTTTCGGTCATTCAGGCTGTAGGGTAAAACGGGGAAAACATTCATCTAAATTTCTCCAAAAGTACACCGATTCTCGAGCTTAAACTAAGCACCAAGTTTCCTATATTTTCTAGTTGCTAAATACGCTAGAATCTTTGCGAGGAGGCAGCATTGTATTCAAACAGTTCGCCAATCAAACACTGAGGACTTGTACCTCACTAAATGAACAAATCCTCGACGTTCGCATACATCTGCTTGTCGTACATTCTCATGTCGATCAGTCTCTAATGTGAAAAAGAAATAACTATAATTACTAAATAGAGTGTGTTCCCCGTTTACATTATATGTAGTTATCCTTATCAGCTGTCCGCTTTTTCCGCCTAAGAAAATACCAGGAGGTATCATCCACCACTCAGTGCATCTCAACGCAGTTTTGCAATAATCTCATCATCTTTCACAATATGACCATAAAGGTCTTTTTTTTTGGTTATTGGAACATTTTATCATGTCTCCTATACGCTACTATTTGTGGAGTGTATGTTCCGGTGACATAACAAGAAGAAGGAATCCAAACTTCCCTAAGTGACAAGCTGTTAATTTTAGAGACTATAAGAAGCTAAGCCTTAATTCACTCCTATATAAAAGGAAATCGCAATGGTCATCACTTTCCTCACCTTGTGTAGAGTTTCCATGTCTTTAAGCTCGGTTTTCAATTCTGTGAAAGCTGGTCTTTCATCCGGGTCATTTTGCCAGCATCTCATCATGATCTGATACCTAATAATTTTCATATGGAATGTGATATTATTTGATTTTGTGAACATCAATTTATGTGTGAGAGTTTATAGAATTTTTCCTGTTGAAATGAAGTGGAAAGAGTCTATAAAAGCTTACAATTCATCATCCACGTGTTGTGGTTTACGCATTCTGTATCCCTCTTCAAGAAAGTTTACAATTTTTTTTCCATCCATTCGTGGCTAAGGTGAACCGCCTGAAAGAGAAAAAACAAGACAATCAGAATGGAAATGTGTCGAACAACAACCATCACCGATAGCAGCACCTATGTGCACCTATGCGCTATGTTATGCACCTTAACAGAATGCATTTGTTATCGCGAAACCTGTTATCATACCGTTTCCCTGGTGTTTTTCGCTTGCGTGTTAACTACCTGTAAGTGTTTGTACGTTTCATTCGTTGTATTGGGTACTTTTGGTTAATCTTCATATCGTGGCGTAATGTTACTTAACTTATGTCAAATAATTTGTTAAGCTTTGTGTAGATTTGTAGATACGTTTAGTCCTGAGGATCAATGTCTATGTCCACTTTTTACAAGCAGCTTCGTCGTTTCTTAAACTCCTGTAAAGCTATGTACATGAATCGTTTTCTTTATTGTGAGTTATTTTGCAAGTTTTCGTTCTGTTATAGGTATTTCCCTGAATGGATGAGCAAAGTTACATCGGTTACAGCATATATAATATAGTGAAGAAATATGTTTGAAGTCTCATAAGTTTCGATCAGATGTTACCTATGGTGAAAATCTCGTAAAGGACGACTCCATAACTCCATCTGCAGAGAGGCAATGAAACATGAGTAAAATAGCTGATCGAAGACTCATGAAACAAATCCCAGGCTAGTCCCAGTGCGGCTGCTATCCTTAAATAGTTTGACCTTCGCGCTCCTTCGCGTGGGTTATGCAAAAGACCAAGGGTTCGCTCGAGTTCACAAATAGTCACAAGTAACGTTACGTTCTTGTGCTGTTTCATCGCATTCCTAAATCGTCAGGCAAATGTCCACATCGTTTTTTTCGTATTTCCTTTGTTAATCCTGTGTTATTTCCAGTGCTGTAATTAGTTGTTCCGTTCTCAAAGTATTAGAAACTATTGGAAATGACAGGTATAGCGAAGAGTTCGAGTCCAGAATTAACCTCCTTTAGGTCCTAAAAATTATTGCTGAAACACATAAACATTATATAGGACAAACGAAATATTATGTTGGAGAAAACTTTAAATCCTTATTTACAATGGTAAAATTTACAGAGTGAAAATTTTAATAAGTGCGCGCTTCTTTCATCTTATTCCTAGCTATTGAGTCATCATGGTATAATGATACAGTCTCTATAGACGCACAGCCCGTTGTGTGTTTGCAGTTGTATTTCCTGCATATTTTCTTTACAGTTTAGCCACGAGTTTTAATTTCTTTTTAGATCGACTTTGAGCCTCAAAATAGAAATTAGGTATGCCAAATATCACTAGATTCAGAGAGTGAATGGACATTTAACTCTAGAGTTAAATGTCCATTCAGTTTCCGAATCTAGTATATCGAGTTATCGATGCACTTGGGAAGTATAGGGAGCGCTCAAGATGCTATAGCTTCTCTCGGATGCATCCTGAAAGGAACTCTTATGATCTTCTTGTACTCTCCAAACTTCACGCTTGCATCCATAGTTCTATGTGATCAGTTATACTTACACGTCACTTTTGGTGGTATAGGTCCCATACAACAACGCTTCATAAGCTGTCCACTTCACTGGGAGACGGCCCTAAAGATTTATGACACAGCACAAAAATAGTAAGCAATAAATCAAAGACAGTAATAGTTGAAATAATACTCGTATATGTACCATTTATCCTCCTATCAGGTCCAATCTATTACCTTTGTTTTTCGTTCATAGATATTTTCCTGCTGCACATCTTTGGCCATTCCAAAATCTGTCACTTTACACGTTTCGTTTAGTCCAACCAACACATTACGGGCTGCAAGGTCCCGATGGATGATCTAAAGGAAGGGATTATGAAAGAATTAATAACGTGTCAGCGAGAATTTGTCATTACAATAGATAAAGAACTAAAACAAATAGCCTAATCTATGAAAAAATTCATGGTGTGCGTGCTTTTCATCCCCCCCGGTAGTAACAAATTACAAAGCGCTAGTATCGTTAAAATCTGAACGAAAATTGACCACTTCAATTTTTAAATAAAAATAGGGGGTACCCCTGTAGAAAAAGCCTTAGACCAGACAAAAATAATTTGTTTGCACCTATGAGGCGTGTTCTTTTTAAGATATGAAATAGTATATAAGAAAACAAAGATTAACCAAGAGGGTACACCCTCAGATGGAAGATTTAGAATTAAATTATGTCATTCGTATTAGATACAATGAAATATATGACGTTCATATATTTTGAACTGCGGTATTAGATACGTATGATGCACGATCCTCGCAGTAGATAGCGCTATTTAAGCAATAGCGATAAATCAGACCTGAAAAAAATCAGGCCTGTACGGGACTCGAACCACTGACCTCTGCGATACTAGTGCAGTGCTCTACCAATTGAGTTAACAAGCCAACTGGGAGCAGGCCGCTAAGTTGATTCGTAATAAACCCGTGAAAGTGATAAATCAGATACAATTAAATATATGAAGTTCATATATTTTGAACTGCGGTGTTAGATACGTATTTTCGCTATTGCTTAAATAGCGCTATCTACTGCGAGGATCGTGCATCATACGTATCTAATACCGCAGTTCAAAATATATCAACTTCATATATTTCATTGTATCTGATTTATCACCTTCACGGGTTTATTACGAATCAACTTAACGGCCTGCTCCCAGTTGGCTTGTGAGCTCAATTGGTAGAGCACTGCACTAGTATCGCAGAGGTCAGTGGTTCGAGTCCCGTACAGGCCTGATTTTTTTCAGGTCTGATTTTCGCTATTGCTTAAATAGCGCTATCTGCTGCGAGGATCGTGCATCATACGTGTCATTCGTATTGATGATAACTTACAGATTTTGAGGAAAGGTAACTCATGCCATCAGCGATTTGCCAGGAAAACTTCATCAGCTGCTGTGATGTCAGATTTGTTTGTGGTTCGATATCCGGGTCTTTGTAGTAAGTGTCATTTAATCCACGGCTTTTTCTCAGGTAACCCAGGAGATCTCCAAAAGGAACATATTCAATCAATACCAGGAGTTCATCTGAAAACACACACAAAAAACGTTTTGACGAGATAGTCTTACAAAGAAATCAAAAGGTAAAATGCGTATGGCATAATAAAACCTATACAACCATAGCATACCAGATTCAGTAACACATCCCAGAAGTTTGATGACGTGAGGATGTGGTTGAAGGTTCTTCATCGTTTCAAGTTCTTTCACCAAAGCTCTCTTCTGCGATTCAGCGGCGTTAGCTGGAGAGTTAAAAGCAGATTTCAATGTTATGCAAAATGCCGAAGCAACAATATAAGATGTGAAATAGCAAATGACTGAAGAAAACTTAAAACTAGAAGATATTCCATATAAAACCATTGGTCAATTTTATCAAGATCAGCACAAACAAAGAAAAAAATACAAAGTCTTTGTGCTGAGGTCAGAACATGGCTCACATTTAAGCATCTTTATAGCTACTGTAGTCGTATCAGGCCTCCCTCTAAGTCTTACTGCCGTTCCCTTGGCAACCTGTCCAAAAGCACCTTTGCCAATAACTTTTTCTATGGTCACGTGATGTCTTGGAACTTCCCAGGAGCGTCTCAGTGGATGAACAGGGGCGTAATCAGCACCTGGACTTGTACTTTTTGTTCTTCTATTATCTTTGCTGACGTCTCTGAGAGCGATGTACTCCTCAGGAGGTTGAGTGAGTGCGCTTGAATGGGGCAAACTTTGTTCGATATCTTGTAAAGCCACCAAATTCTATTAAATCAATGTAACCTTTCAACTACTTATTACATACTTATTAAATAAATCTTAAATAAGTCTTTAAAAAACTCAAAAACATGTCACACTGGGTAATAAAAACAGTTTACTCATCTTATCACACCTATGTTTATATGTTCTTTCTTTATTATGACTAAAATCAATAACTAGTATGTTCTCCATCATCGAAAACGACCATGTCTGATGGGTTAAACGATATTTCCAACATACCCGCCAAAAATACAAATTGCAACCCCAAAATAAGAAGATTCACAATTGGTAGCGGACATACATACACGCGGAAAACTGTCGTTACGCTTACCTCCCTCACTGCTGTTAGGTAATAAGACGTCGAGAGAATAAGACGGAAAAAACAACGCGGGAAAATTATCAAGGAAACGCATCTTCAACGGAAATGTAACTTTTGGTTATCAATGAGTACACGAGACAACCGAGAGCCAATCCAGCGAGTAGCTTGACCTCATCCTAGGACAGAGTCCCTACCTGGTTGAAGGTCTCCGCAATTACATAGTGTCTACTACCCTTTTAAGATGCCAGTTTTACGCGTCTTTGTAAAATCCTGCATATTCTCTTTCACAGATTGCTAGTGTCTATTTTACTGAATAGAGCAGATGTAAAGTAAGATCACACACTTTATCCCCACACCGACATGATCATAATGTCTACGCCACAACTTACGTCGAAAGCATTTCTTTCATCTTCACAGGAACTACAATTAAGAAATATAATGATTATAAGGCTTACACTTATAATGATTGTGATAGTAAATACGGCAATAATAATAATGACAATAACAATACTTATGATGATGAAAATGGACAGTTTGATGGTCCAGGTGTCAGAGGCGGCGGTAAGGTTGACAAAGATAAGAGGCGTAACATGTGGTCCATGTTCATGGAAATGTCATTTTTAATTTTGAGCTGGGCTTCTTCACCACTATGGCCAGGACGATAGCTAACTGAAGCCTTTGAAAGAGATTATTCTTAACCAGATGTAATAAGAGGCGTAGCATGTTGTCCATGTTCATGGAAATGTCATTTTAATTTTGAGGTTAGCTACTTCACTACTATGGCCAGGAAGATAGCTAACTAAAGCGTTTGAAAGAGATCATTCTAAACGAGATGTGACTCAAGCTGATCCGCTTCTGTTGAAGATTATTTACATGGAAAATACTTTTCAGAAGTAAGGCCAGATCCAAATTTCTAAGAGTGGGAATTCCAAAAGCCTCATCCCACACATCTGGTAAGACGCCAGACTGTAGGGAATGGTTGATAATAACAGTTAACAAGGGCTTGAGTTCATCTAGACATTCCTTTGCGACTTTCATCAGGACAAGATTTAGGCAGAAGGACCTACTGCCTCACTGTGCACAAGAGTCTTAACCTCACTCAGGAGCTCAGAGTTAGAGAAATATTCTTATGAGGATGAGGGTTGAAGGGATCAGTCGGAGGAGCTGAGGTAATGTTATGAACTGTGACTGCATCTAACTAAGAGTGAACCAGCATCAGATTTTTCCCTTTTAAAAAAAGCGCCCAATTCACTGTCAATTGTCAACCTGTTACAGTGTTGTGTATATGGTGACTCCTTCGCTTGATTAAGAAACTCTCTTGCGGTGGCAAAAAGTTTCAGTGGATCACCAGAAATGAGAAGTCATGGAAGTAGCCCTAGGGTGGATTTAAAGTTTACCGCGGGTCAGCAAAAGCGGCAAATGGCGATCCTTACACGTGGTTGACAATGTGGGTAACTTAAAACTCATTTCTCCTCTAAAGAAAATCTAATCGTGAAAAAAATATTTGAAGAATCAGTTGAAGTGAAGTCCAAGACTTTGGCGCATATAAGCCACTGATGAAGAAGCGAGAGACAAAAGTTACCGTGCTTTGTTTGTCGAATGATAACAGACGATAGTTTGAGCTTGGAGGCATTGTTTTTATTTAGAAGTGCTGAGAAGATAGCAAAAATAAGTTGGACTTTCCACATAAACACTCGTAAGTCCTTGTAAAAATGCTTAGGTACTGAAAGGCTATTTATAATGTAGAACGAAGTTGATGAATGATGTGCACAGTATGAAAATTATCCAGAAATTTATAAAAGAAACTAAATTCTTACCTTTGTTTCATTAGTGCGCCTAACAAGGAGAAAAAGGGGAATAAAATTAAATTCTTGTGGCGGAGGTAAAAATATTTTGTCTTGCGTCATGATGGATCTTGTCTCACCCTTCTACCATATATAATGAAATTGTTCCTCACCTTTCCTGTGTAGCCAGACTATGTAAATTATTAGAAGAAGGATGAGGAAGCCGAGAACTCCATTAAATGTTGTTAACATCACGCCGTTACTTGAGCTCTTTTCTTGTTCGGGACCTAAATTGATTGGTTTCTTTAGGCTCAATGCAGTAACAATCAAACAAGGTTTTGCCATTATCTTGGCCAAAATACTGCTGTAATTACATGGCTTCGGTTGGTGAACAAAAGAAATGCGCATTCTGACTGGCTAAATACTAAGGAAAAAGAGAGCGTTACCCTCCCTGTGAAGTTTTGGAAAGCAAACTTTTGTTTGAAAGAATTAAACAACAACAAGAACAACAAAAAGAAAATTTATCCTTCAAAGAAAGGAAGAAGACATGGAAACGACTAGAAGTCTGTAGATCCTTTCTAAAAGGATACTCGTTAGGAATATACACGACATCTTACCGCTGAGATGTCATAGAAATGTTATTCTAGTTTATAGTGATCCCTCCTCGATTAATATTAGAAAGAAATTGAGTTTTGCTTGTTATATTTAATTGGAGGATTAAGATGATAACGTTACCATATACATGTATCACAATTTTTTGACATATGATTTAGAAATTTTGGGGTCTACAGGAGGACAACTAAATCCTAAATGGACGCCATAGTACAATGCCGCGATACAAAGTTTCTCAGTATGACATCAATGGACTGATCCTGTTTGATGATAGCCAGCATAATAAAGTCGCAAAATCTTCCTTCAACCACACTTTGAATAGGTTTCTGTTGGAAATAAAACGACTAGTTCTTACTTTTGTAATTACGGTTTCCTTGGAGTCCTGAGAGGGAAAAGAAAAAAAAACAATTTTACGTTCTTCTCATCTATATTCTCCCAAACTAGACGTCAAAAAGAGTTCGGAAATAAATCGGAAAATCGATTATGTTGAAAGGTAAAATAGAATAGAAAAGGATTAAAAATCGACGCGAAGACTGATGTTCGTATACTACGCTGTTGGACTGATAGTCTAACAGCGTGGTCCCTGACCGTTTGTGAAAATGCTCGTAAATCAACCTCGTAATGTTTCTCTCGTTTCAGTTTGTAACATCGAAGTACAATCGCTGACTAGTTTCCAGAGTATGAAAGAAAGAAAGCAGTCATCTGTGGAAATTGTTTGGGATGATATGGTAACTGTACTTGATTCTGGTTTAGCCAAAGAAAAGTGACAAAGAACTCTTAAAACGAGACATTTTCAATTCTATATATTCATTACACCAAGTACGAACCATTCAATGCCTAAAGCAATATTTCAGCAATCCCTTTACAAGGTTAATAGCTCATTTGTGCCCTTTCCTTTAGCTGAAAGGTAGACCGAATAAAAATACTTTTTTCCTGATTTTCGTACGAAGGAAAGAGAACTGTAACACGGCATGAGAGGAAAAGAATACCAGGAGAATTTGCTGAATCCCCTTGCGTTCTGTCATTTATTTTGGTAACGACTTTGCTGACGGTGTGGCGGACATAGATAGTTTAGATTTATCAGTAATCGTACTAAAACTCCTTCAACGTACCAATAAGTAGCAAAAACCTAACAGTTACATTTCCCACTTCATTTTTCGCAGAACAGGTATACCATCCTTCGTCACTTGAAGCAGCATCCTTTATCTCTAGAAATGAGAAGTTTGTCATTTTTTTGCCGCTGGTGTCATTTCCTTTGTTT